CCCCCCCCCCACTTTTTTGCCCCAAGAAGTTCTCAGATGTAGCAGTCCACGTTATTTGGAAATCCTGGCTTCTGATAAGTATGCGTCCAGTAGTCCTCTCTGAAGCCATCGCCCTTCGGGAAGCAAGGAAATGATTGGGTTTAACTGATGTGTCTTCTGTTCCTTATTCCTGGGTCTGAGTAGTAGAAGGTGGCAGAGGGTAGCCTCTTAATTGAGGAATGATGGCTTCCCTGCAGACCCCGGTGATGTCATCCGAGGGAAGCTGCTGGGGGAGGGTGTGGGGGATGTCGGGAGTCTGCTGGGGGTTGTTAGACCCTGCAAAATTGTATCCGTTCACCTGTATGAACTGCCACAGTGGAATCCCTTTTTATGGTACTGTGCCATGTGGTTACAGTTGTGGTGTTTTGGCCAAATTTTAGTTTGTGGCCATTAAATATGTTGCCGTATCTTAAAAACAAGTTTGAAGGTGACCTTGAGTGGAATATGAGTGTATTTAAAACTTCCTGGATACTTAAAATGTCATCCCATTGGGGAATAATGCCCCACTGTGTAGGAGGCTCTTCTACTGAGATGGAAATTTGTCTGTGGAGTTCCTTAGATACCTTTTTAGGATTTTGGTGTTGTATTGGGGGTCAGGCGGTGGGGTGGGAGTTGGGGTGCAAGGTGCCCCAAAACCATATTGGTTTCTGGGGTCATTTTGGGGGCACGGATAAAGAAACATTTGGTCCATGGTATTTATTTTATTTTTTATATTTTTACTTCGCTCTTTGGAAGCTAGGGTTTTCACCCTTATAGAGGCTGGCCTCGGTGAAGGCCAAGGTGAGGGTCAGTGACTATTGCCACTGGTTCCCGCAACTCCAGAGTGAGCGTCTTGTCCTTTTCCTTGGTTTTTATATTTTATTTTTGGTCTCCTCACGCTGCACCACTTGTGCAAATCGTCTGACCTTACCAGTAGTGGCCTTTACTCTTTTCTTCCTTTTTCTGTTTGATGTTCTCGTGACTTTTATTCCTTGGCAAATAAGGATGCCAGGCTTGAAACAAGTTACTGTTGAGTGATGGTTCTTACCACCCCTGCCTTTTCTTCTTCCTTTTTTTTTTAATTTAAAGGCAGCAGGCGCATGGATTATTAACTTAACATGGTCTGGGCAAACATGACCTTATGCAATCCCCAGGTGAGCAGGCCTGCCTACTTCTCCCATGTTCCTAGATAACCACTTAGGCTGGGAGTGAGCGCCAGTCTGGCAGAAGGAAAGTGTGGTGTTCGGAGGGCCAGGACAGCACTGCGCTCCTGTCTTTGGGCTGCACATGGTGGCCCGGGAGGCCCCCCCCCCCTGCTCAGGAGAGTTTCCAGGTGTGCTCTGAGCCAGACTTTAATTCCCGCGAATGGTTTGGCATTGCTCGGGTGTGTGCCGGGTTTGTGTTTTAGAGACTACTGGTTTATTGTGTCAAATGAGGAACAGATTGTACCAGTGACTCTGTGGTTTATATAGTGAAGCGGGGTCAGTGGATGTGATTCATAACCCGGGACACTCAGAGGGAGGAGGGTGATCAAGATAAGGGCCCCAGCGCTTTTTTGGCCCTGGTTTCCTAGCTGCTTGTAATTTAGAGGTCTTAAAGCCACTCCTGCTCACAGGTCATTCGCGTTCTCAAGAATTTCTTTTTCCTTTGTGAGGACACTTCAACAGTACATCTAGATACAAGTCCTAGGCTGATGTGAGACTGATTTTTTTTGGATAATGTCAGGGGGATTTGTTCAGAGGTGGAGGAAAAGAATCTCTGAGCATCTTGATGTTTTCTGGTTGGGTAAAGAAAACTGAATTAAAGCCAAGGTCTTTCCTGCTTGTTTTGCATTTAGGAGATACTGTATGACCCTTAAAATTATGAGTCGACTGTCCTTTTTTTTTGAAGAGTGGTGGTGGTAGGGTGTCACCTGAGTGAGTGAAATGCAATTCCTACATGTTTGCATAGTTTACAGAACCCTAAGGACAGGGGTGAATTGGCCCGAGAAGCCACCAGTGAATAGAATGGCTGACTTAAAAAGTTACAGGTTTTGTTAAGATTCTTATGCTAACTAAAAGCTAGCCTTCCTAAGGAGCAGTCTCCTGTGGATGGAAACCATGTGGCATTTACAGTTTACCCCACTGCCGCTGGTCCCTGTGACACAGAGAAGACTTCTGTAATTTGTAGATAGTAGATAAGTTTGCATTTTTGCCTCCTTGATTCGATTCTGTAAATCCCTGCAGGGCCACTGGGGACAGGTGTATTCTGTTGGAAACCTGCCTCTCTGAGCGTTGGTACTCGGGGTTCAGAAAGCTGAGCCAGCACGCTGCCCTGCATTTCGCTGCGCTGCCCTGCCCTGGGTGCCCCTAGGTCAGGATCCGCTTGTCCATCGAGGCTGTGTCTTCGCCCTGGGGCTCCCGGGGGGGCCCCATGCCTGACTGCCCCCTCCGTGTGTTGCAGCGATGTGCTCGCCCTGCCCATCTTCAAGCAAGAGGAGCCACAGCTGTCCCCCGAGAGTGAGGCCCGCCTGCCGCCCCTGCAGTACGTGCTGTGTGCTGCCACGTCCCCGGCCGTGAAGCTGCACGAAGAGACCCTAACCTATCTCAACCAAGGTAGTGGCTGGAACGTGGGGGCCGGGGCAGAGCCTGGGGGCGCCGGCGCGACCTCCCAGGAGGGATGGGGAGTCGGCCTGAATGACCCCCTCCCGGCTTCCTTACCTTGTCACAGTGGGGTTAGTCGGGAGGGAGGCTGTCGCGTCAGACACATGCATTTCCCAGCCGTGGGACCTCCCTGAGCCTCTGTGTCTTCATCTGCAGAGTGGACGCAGCAGCTGTGTTGTTATTCAGGCCAGCCGCGGGGTACGCGCGGTTTCTTGTGCACGCCCTCCGTGGGGCAGGTGCTCAGCGATCCGTGGCCACTGGTGTGATTACTGTTGACTGTGACCACGACCGATGTCCTTGCCTGGACGTAGATGGAGCACGTGAGGTATAGCGGACCTGCTGTCCTTTCTGGAGCCGCAGCAGTCCGTGGCGGGAAGACTGGCCCCGTCCTAATGCGCCACGGGGGCTGGACCCCGCACATGCCAGACGGAAGCCCTGTGTGGTGCTGGTGACAGGGCCGTGCACGCGTCCTGGGAGAAGTGGCGTGGGCTTTGCAGTCTGAATCTCAGGTCCGTGACTTTGAGCTGCCTTCTCTGTGCTCCGCGTTTTCACATGGAAACCGAGAGGTGTAATTTTGGGACATTCGAAAGGAATGAAGTTGTTCTAAGTGTCTGCAATGATAACGGCTGTTGGGCTGCTGATTGCCTTTATCAGGACACGTGGATCAGCATCCCAACAGATGGCGTTTTTGCGGTTTCTATGTGAGCCTGTGTGTGTGTTTATTGAACTTCCTTCCTGGGTCACCTCCTAGACACCCCGGCATCAAGTGGGTTCGCTGACCCTGTGTTTCTCCGTGGGGAAAGCAGAGGGGCAGGGAGCACAGCCGTGTCGGTGGGCCTGCACTGTCCTGCAGGGTGCCACGGCACTTTTGTCTTACGTGGGCTGCCTCCTTTCTGGAAAACTTGGGAGTCCTGAATTTGGAGGGCCAGCCAGGGGTGGAAATGCAGCCGGATCGTCGGCTGTCCTCTGCCCAGCTTCTGGCCGGGGGGGACCAGCTGAGTGCCAGCAGGTGGCTCTGCGTCTTCTCCGGAAGGAAGCAAGCCCCCTCCCATGGTTGACATGACCCAGTGGAAGGGCATGCCTGTCCCCCTGGGTGACTCCCTGGCCTCAGCTGGTTGCCTGGCCCAAACTCAGTTAGCAGTAGGGGGCCTGACTCAGGCTCTGACTGTATGAGGTGGCCATGGGGAAGAATGCCTCTGGGCTGGTCTGTGGAGGGGCTTCCGCCATTTTCCTTTCTCTTTCAGAGAAGGTCAAATGCTACAAACTTGTGTACCTTTGCTTTCTTGTCTGGGCCTCTGCTCTTTTGTCTCAAGGTAGCCTGGAGAAATTGGCTCCTGTTTGCTGAGCTTTGAGGCCCGAGGCTGGTCTTGTTCTGGTCTTGTCCTGTGGTGCTGAGGAGTAAGTGGTTGGGGGCCATGAGTCTGGCCCTGGACACTGAGTGTGCACCCGCCTCCCTGCCCCGTCTGCAAGGCCTTTGCCTGCCTTCCCTGCCTTCCCTGCACCCCTCCCCCCTTTAATCAGCCAACTTTGGACCATGTTTGGCAGTCCGCATACCGGGCCTTTTTTAAGAGTTTCTCCTTTGTTCAGTGCAGAAAAGTTAAGAGGGGAAAAGAGTTGCCTCATGGTCTTACTATCCTGTGTCAGTTTGGTGTATTTACTTTAGATACTTTTTAAGTTGCATTTTCCTGATTATTAAAATAACACGTGCTCATGATAAACAGTTTGGATGATTTAGACAAGTATAGGAAGAAAACGGGAAGAGAAAAAATGTGAAATCTCCTAATTACACCTGAGAACCCCTGCTAACCTGATTTCCATGTGTATTTGTGAATGCATCTTTTAGAACTGTGACCCTACTCCAGAAGTATGTCTGCCTTTCATTTTTTTTTTTTTTAATGTTTGTTTATTTTTGAAAGAGAGAGAGAGAGAGAGAAAGCCTGCGTGCACATGAGCATGGAAGGGGCAGAGGGAGGTGGGGGGCGGTGGAGACAGAATCTGAAGCAGGCTCCAGGCTCTGAACTGTCAGCACAGAGCCCGACGGACGTGGGGCTCGCACCCACAGACTGTGAGATCATGACCTGAGCCAAAGTCGGACGCTTAACCGACCAAGCCACCCAGGTGCCCCTGAACTTCTCTCATTTCATTCGAAATGCTTTGAGAACCTAAATTTTTGTAATGGTTGCAAGATATCACATGTTCTAGGTCTGTTGCTTCGAGCAGTGTCATGGATGGACACTCAGCTTTCAGTTGCTATCTTTGTGTGAAATGTTGATTAAAAAAAAATTAATAAATTACCTTCGAAGTAGGATTACTGGATCGAAGCCTTCTCAGCAGAATGTCCCAGCAGGGCACAGTTCACTGTCTTTTTCCCAATATTGGATGTTGTGGCTTTTCATCTGAATAGTGAAACATGGAACTTAAAGCAGAATTTCTGTCATCGGGGTTATCGTAAGCTAGCATCTGTCAGTCGGTGTGGTCAAATATTTATTGTAAAATAGGTTTCTTGATCTTTTAGATTTCTCCATCAATAATGTTCACGTTCTTTGTCCATTTTTCTATTGGGAGGTTTATGTCTCACTGATTGTAAGAGCACATCATATTAGAAAAGTATCAACTTTTAGTTGCTATATGTTGCAAACACTTTCCCTTGTTGGCTGCCAGCCGTTTATATTTATTGGGTGACAATTATATTTATGCTGTGGGATCTGTGTCATAATTTTTTTTTTCTGTGTAAAAATTTATTTGGAATGTCTATTGTAAAATCTTTCAGTCTCTTAAAACAGTTTTTCTTCTATGCTAAGAATGCCCACCCACCCCAAAATCACTTAGTAGTTTCCTAAATTTCATTTCATGGTTTCCAAGCTGTAACACTGAAATGCATTTGCAATATTTTTTGAAACGTAGTAATTAGGCATTTAATGATATTTTGGATTATTATTACTTAACATATATATATTTTTTCAGCCTTACCAGTGAGATTTATACTGTCACATTACATTTGGAATTTATGATGTGATATAAAGGTCTAACTTTGTTTATTTTTCCAGATAGTTAACCTACTAGTTATTGCCTAGTTTATCCTTTTCTCACTGGCTTAAAATGCCGCTTTGGAAACATTTAAAAAAGCTGTATTCTAGGGTATTGGTCCAGAAACAACGCCTCGCCCCTTGTATAGGTAATTGTCCTGTAGGCCAGATATTCATTGATTCTTGCCCCCTTTCACACTGACCTGTTTATCGTGGCTTGGAAATTGTTTCCCTATTTGAGTGTAGAAGTCCCTTTAATCATTTTTCTTAGTTCCTCTTGATCATATTCTTACAGATGGATTTTACAACCACTGAATCTGCTTGGTATACCTTTTTTCTTTTTTTTTTCACAGCGATGAGATGATACACTTTATGAAATTGTTTCTTGATTTTATTAAACACTCTTCTTGTAATAACATTTTTTTGTCATTAAAGCCTCTTTAACCTCATTTAAAATGTTTGCATATTATTTCACTATTTTTTCTTGTTATTTAGGATAGCATAGTGGCATCACTGCTTGAAGAAAATATACAATGTAGGGTTTTGTTTTTTTTTGGATGTTTCCCATAATAGAGTGGAAAGTCTGAGGACAGAGCCATGTTTTATCTTTTTAAGTGCTGTATCCCTGCCATTAAGCTTGGTGCCTGTGATACCGAAGTAGGTGTTCTATTGATATTTAGAAAATTAAACAGTAGGCATGATTTACTTTCCATTCTATTTTTCTCTCCTCTCTTTAAAAAAAAAACTTAAATGTGTATTTATTTTTGAGAGAGAGACAGTGAGAGCCAGGGAGAAGCAGAGAGAGAGAGAGACACAATCCGAAACAGGCTCCAGGCTCCGAGTTGTCAGCGCACAGCCCAATGTGGGTCTCGACCTCACGAACTGGGAGGTCGTGACCAGAGCCGACATCGGACGCCTAACCAACTGAGCCACCCAGGCGCCCCTCTTCTCTCTTTGTTGCTGTTACTAATAATGCTGAACTGAATATCTTTTTCAGTGTCTTTTATTTAAAGTAGTCTATACTTCTATGTCATAGGACACATTGTCAGTGATTCAGTTAAAAACAATGGTTTTGATACGTCATTTAAAACCTTTTTGGTTAATTGAAAAGTTAGATATTAATGGTATTTTTTTTTTTAATTCTTAAAAAATTTTTTATTTTTTTCAGTAATCTCTACACCCACCTTGGGGCTCAAACTCACAGTCCTGAGATCAAGAGTCACCTGCTCTTCTGACTGAGCCAGCCAGGCGCCCTGCTATTAACAGGATTTATTTAATGTTTATTGCGTTGGCTCTGTGATGTCTGTTGTACTATTTCTGAGGCCACGCCATATCCTCTTCCTTAAAATGGTATTTTTAAAGCTCTGAAAACATGAAGGGATGCACTGTCTGGAAGACATTTAAACCATCAGATGCTCATTTCTCGCCGTAGTGTCAGGACAGTGTGTTCCATATGGGTGTCTTCTCACCAAGCCTATGGCTGATTTTATATGTGGTAGAAATGATTTGTAAACAATGTATGTCTTCTTCCTCTGACATGGAGTCCTAAGAAGTGGGTGGACAGCTGTTGCATGGAGGTCTGCAAAGTCCCAGATCAACCTTTTTGTCAGTGGCCAGATCTTTCCTGAAGGCTGGAGCCAGAAGGCTGGGGTAGGGGGAGGAGTCAGGGAGAACCGAGGAGAGAGCCCCAGGCAATTTGTGTAGGGATTTCTGGCTTGGAGATAAGGAACAGCTTTGCAAGACTGGCTTGTTTTGGAGAAGGCTTTTGGTGTTTCCTTAAAAAGAACTCTTGAATCTTAAATATAGTAATAGGTTCTTACAGGAGTCATGAATGAACTTCCTGTCCTTCAGAATGAGAGGTGGTTTAGTGCAAAGAAAGAAAAGCCACAGGCAAAGGCAAGAACGAAGTGTGTGTGTGCGTGCAGG